GACGGGCGAGCGCAGAGAACAGCCCTCCAAAGCGCATTCCCCACCGCAGGCAAGATTCCCAAGATCTCCTTCGCCGCTTAGCGAGAGTGTCGCACACTCCGAGCCCTGGGCGCGCGTCTGGATCGCGATCTCAGACCGCCTCGGTCAAGGAACAAGGTAGCTCGGTCCAAGATATGAATGCTGATGCAAAGTCTGCTCTACCAGGAGACAAGGCTGAGGCCGTAGACGATGAATCTCCGCCTGACGCGGGTGACGAACGACCCGTGAGGGGGCCAGAGAAGCGGCCACAGGAGAACACAATAGAGGAGGCCCGAGAGGGCATCGAGGACATACCAGAGCTTCGACCAAGTCTCAAGAACGAGGATGTTGATGCTACACCAATGCCAGAGGAGCGCTCCATCTTGAACCCCAAAACGCCCGTGGTAACTGGTGCATGGGTAGACACACCTGGCCCACGAACTCTCCAAAAGAACGCCGCCATCACATCCCGCTCTCGCTCAAGATCTCCTGTCAAACGCAGCCCGCAAAAGGCAAGATCAAGCACCGAACAGACTGCGTCTACAGCAGAAGAATCAAGAGAAACCGCAGTCACCCAAGTCGTGCGCCCTCAGCTCCCCACCTCCGCCCTCCAAGCCCTCGTCAGCGAAGCCAAATCCAGTGGACGACGCCCCTCCGCCGATTTCGGCGACTCAACCATAAACTCGCTCGAAGAACTCATCACTGACGCTCCAGACGCCGCAGTAGACGAAGACACACTACAAGGACTGCAGCTTCCCACCGCGACACCACGAAATGAAGCAGAGCGGCAACGGCAGCAAGAATTGCTGCACCTACATCGCATGAACGACCGCCTCCGCGCAGCGCGAACAAGTATCCGCGATGCAAGCCGTGGCATGAAGCGCGTAGAAGACCGGGTCGAACACGTTGAAGAGGACGCCCAGGGCAATAAGATCCACATCATCCGCCGCGAATGTCCCTGCGCGACAGCCCCTCACCCTCAGGACTTCTCCCTCTGGCGCTGGTCGAAATCCTTCATCTGGCAAGACCACCTCAAGGCCCTTCGCATGACTTCAAATAGTACATGGCGCATCTGGGGCGGTCTCACAGGCCTGGGGATATTCCTCACGTTGTTTCTTGCATGGCGGCTCAGCGAGAAAATTGCTTGGTATGTACTCTGTCTTGTACGCTACGGCATATAGCAAACAAAAAACACTCCTTTAATTTCCCTCGCACAATGATGACGCAAAGGAGCTTTTGGGTTTATCTTGGCTGATAGTTGCACCAACAGCGAGATTTACTGCCACCACGCGTATGCGTATTCCTCGCCGTATCCCTTCAGCGTCAACAG